TAGGGGTTTAGAGGTTTAGAGGTTTAGGGGTTTTAGGGTGTGGGATTTTGGGTTAAGGGTTTGGGTTTAGGGGTTTAGGGTTTAGGGATTTAGGGATTAGGGTGTAGGGTTTAGGGTTTAGGGTTTAGGGGTTTAGGGTTTTAGGGTTTAGGGTTTAGGGTTTAGGGTGGGAATGAAGGAATGGAGAAGAAAATGGAAGCTACAGGGATTCTGGGGATTATACGAGGTTTAGGGTTTGGGATCATGGAAAAGAACATGGAAACTAAGACTAAGATATAGGGCCATATAGGGACTGCTATAAGGATCCATTCCTTCATTCCTGGCTGACCGAAGGCAAGATTAAGGAACTTAGTTTAAGTTACAATAATGGTGGTTTATAGGGTTAAGGGTTTAGGGTTGCTGCTTTGGCAGCAAGAAGGGATGTGGAGATATTGTGGGCCCTTGGAAGGAAAAAGGTTTTTGTAAAGGACTGTCCGACATCCTAAGCCATAAGGATCCTACATGGGTGATTTTTGGAAATTCCCAACAAGAAGCATGATTCACGATGTTTTTTCTAGAGTGCACAATTGGCTAGTTTAGCTTATCCTTAACAAAGGCTATGTGGCAGGAATCTTGGAAAAGCAGGTATCTACCAGGACCCTCCTAGCACCCTCAATTGGGATTGTATGGCCCTGATACGGGTTACTGAGACTTTAATACAGTGTAGCTGGAGGGTCTGGGCACAAGGTTCTTGAGGTAAAGGCTTCTGGGAAGGTTTGGTCATGTGTCCCTGCACCTCAAAAACCCTAAACCCCAAACCCTAAACCACGAATCCGAAACCAAAAGCCCTAGACCCAACTAAAACTAAACCCCAAGCCCGTGGCAGGAGAATATCTTTGGTTCCATGTTGAGGGGATGGCCCAATGAGCTGGGTAGGCAGCCTACGGTGGATACCATGCATCCTGCATGACTTCAGATATCTGAAGCCAAGTGAATTGTGGTATTTCAGTAATGCAGGATATTTGCCCTAAACCCTAAAACCTAAACCCTAAACCCTCAATTGTAGTAACCCAAAATAACCCCTAATCCACCCCAGTATGCCCCCAGGCTTCCTAAGGTTGCCCAGGCTTCCCTTAAGATTCGAGATTCAGGGTTTAGGGTTTATGGTTCAGGGTTTAGGGTTTAGGAATCAGGGTTTTGGGTTTAGGGTCTAGGATTCAGGGTTTAGGCTTTAGGTTACGGGTTTAGTAGAATTCAGGGTTTGGGGTTTGGCTTGTGGCAATGATGCTAAGTTGTACCCCTGCGTTTTGTGAGTCTGCTCAATCAGCAGGCTCTAAAGTCGCGCCCCGCCAATTATAGTCCCCCTTAAGTAGATAGAATATGGGATATATGGGGATCTTATTATAATATACCCAAAACCATATTCTATCTGCTTATGGGGGACTATAAGTACTTGCAGCTCCCCACCCTTAGCCCTAAACCCTAAACACAAAAAAAGGCCTCCCAACCTGCCTTCGATTCATTTCTAACTCTGATTCTAGTTACTAATTACAATTACTTAGTGATAATTCGGCTTAACTAGGCTTAATTCAGATGGAACCTAGGGGGGCGTAGTATAGAGTGGGGTAGTAGGGGAACCCATGAATGGAGCTATATATGAGCCATAATCTAACCTCCTGGAGATAAACGGGTTTTTATCGGGGATTATCAAGGGGAGTATTAAAAAGTCCATTACGGGGGATACTTGAAGTTTAGATCGTAGCTGACATAGTATATATTCGGGTCCTACAGTAGTTCTGTGGGAACCCTTTTGGTCCCTATAGGTATACACTACACAGCTACATGGACCCTTTGGCTGGGTGCGTTTGTCAGCCTTCCCGAGCGAAATCCCAGACCGCTCCAGAAAAGATCCCCTAGGGGTCCAAGGACCTAAATAATAGGGCTTTAGGGCCCAAATACCATTCATATTTTTGTATTTGGGCCCTAAAACCCCTTGGACCCTTAGGGATAGAGGAATTTTGGTAACTGCAAGTATTTTTTTAAAAAAATGTGGAGGTACTCGGACCTTTTGTCTAACTACTACACATAGGTTTATGTAAGCATACGTTTATGTTTATAAAGCATTTGGCAGAGGAGAGCTCGCGCACGAATCCGATTCCTATGTGATATGGGATCTCTGCAGCGCAGGAAATGATGGTCTAGCCCTACACACTCCTAAGCCCTGAAACCTAAACCCGAAGGCCTAAACGTATGTAGAGAGCCATTTGGACCCAAGCTCTGTACATTAGATATACATATACACGTTTATGGTTTTAGGGCTAAGCCTTTAAGGTGTAGAATTTAGGGGTTTAGTGTTTAGAGTGTGATACCTGGACTCTTAGCATACTGCGCCCTCAAGGGTCCCGACACACAATGTGTGCGTACCTGGGATTTGGCCAACCAAGAAGTCATAGTGCATATTTTCGGCAATAGTGTGACTATTGAGCGCTTGGATGTCTTAGGGTACTGAACATACAAGAACTCAGCCCTATAGCGCTTGAACCCTGAATCGTACCGACGCCCTAAACCCTAAACTTAAACAGTAGTTTCCATTTTCTTTTCCATTACCCCAATGTGTTCCCGATCTTCAGGATCGGCCGGTCCCTATCAACAGCTGGATCAGCGATGCTGGCTATGAGACTGCAGTCCCTTTGGATGCGGACACTGGGACTACAGGGGGCAGTACCTGGACCCCTACCATATGTAGAATTATAGCTTTTTTGGTTGTTTTAGGGCCATTATGTTACATATTTTTTGCTGTTTGGGTAAGGGTCCAAGTATTTAAGAATCTGATTTGGGATCCCAAGGGTGCAAGGACCCAAATAGGGCTTTAGGGCCCAAATACCATAATATGAATGGTATTTGGGCCCTAAAGCCCTATTATTCAGGTCCTTGGACCCTTAGGGGGATTTAGGGTTCAGGCTTTAGGGTTCAGAGTTCAGGGTTTGGAGTCTAGGGTTTGGGGGTTTTGGGTGTTTAGGGCTCTTAGTGCAGGTTTTGAGAAATCTGTGAATACGGGCCGGTGAATATTGAGACTTTGGACCCTCGGGTTGGTGTTTCGTGGCATGTAACCCTAAACTCCTAAACTTCTGAACCCCAAACCTTTTTCCTATGACAGACCTTCGAAGGATTCTGCAGGATTTGGGTTCAAAAAGTTCACAGATTCAGAGATGGGTCCTCTCTTTGGTTCCGATATTAGGGGTTTTGATGGGTTAGCGTGTCTATGGGACCTTCTCAATTACGATCCTGGTGGATTCCTTGAAGGCGGCGGTCCTTGCATTGCCAATCATGAAGCGTGCAGTTTAGGGCTTAGGGCTTTAGGGTTTAAGGTGTAATATATTCTTTGGGTCCCTACTTGGTGTCAAGGGGACGTATTGAGTAGGTTAATGGAGGAATACCAACTGCCTTGATTCTCCAAGGGTACTCCCAGAAAGCCCATAAAAGAGACCGCGGCTTCGAGAAACAACCCGGCTTAGGGTTTACGGTTTAGGGTTTAAGGGTTGTTTGACACTGCTGGTTGGGGATCGGTCATGTAAAGCAGCTGTTTCCACTCAAGCGTTTGTTAGCATACCCGGGTTTTCCTTGGGAGTTTCTCATAGTGTATAGTCCCCCTTAAGTAGATAGAAAATGGCTTTGGGTATATCATAATAAGAACCCCATAAACCCCATATTCTATCTACTTAAGGGGACTACACATAGTGGGTGTGGAGTTTTGCTGTTGGGGAAGGCCCAAACCCTAAAATTTTGCCCTAAGGCTCTAAGCACTCATAATATGAAGCTATTGGGCCCTAAGACCATACTATAAAAGGCTTTTGGGCTCTTATGAGCCTTAGGGCTGTATAGACACCTGCAGATGGAAAGCGGTGCTTGGAATTTGGTATAGAGGTCTGAAGAAGAACAATTGTTGGAGAATCTATGTGAGCCATAGTCTAAAATTGTAGGGGGGAGGGGGGGGGCGTTATATAGGGGAGTATTATGGCGGTTATTAGTGGGAATAGGGAGTGTGGACTACAGGCTCTCATCTGGTTTCATAGTAAGGCTTCAAATCCGTCGTGGGTTCACCGACGCATTTCCCGCAGGCTATCTTGGACTCTTTGCAACCTATACCGGCCTATACCTTAAAAGCGAGTGTGTCATGACTAGGCGCCCAAGCAACCATAGATCGTCTTCAGCTGATTGTTATTCTCATCCCGAATAATTAAGCCCGAGCAAGCAGGATTCAAATCTCAAAGTTCTATTACAACATATTACAACCCTAAGCCCTAAACCCTAACCCTGAACCGCTACCCTAAACCCTAAAACCTGCCAGCGATCATCCCTACTCCCCACAAAGCCTAACCCCAATCCCTTACCCAGCATTCCCACCATTAGTATTGATATTACTATAATTATTACTACTACTACTACTATTGATATTATCACTATTCTTGTTATTACTTTTTACATTGTTACTATCATTATTTTTACTATCATTATTACTTGAAAGGTATGATGTGATATGCAGCTATCATCCATGCTTTGCGGACCCTTTGGGTGAGCAAGCCCCAAACCCTAGATCCTTAAACCCTAAACCCTACCTGGACCCCGAACCCTGAGCCCTTTAGCAAAGGAGCTGACGGCCACGGGCTGGCCAGTAGCGCACTACGGACTGGGCCGGCTGCTGCTGTAGCCTGGCAGAGCAAAGTTGTAGCTTCCATCAATGGGGGGGAATCCGGTTTAGGATTGAGGGTTTAGGGTCCAAGGATTTGGGTCTAGGGTTTAGGGTTCATAGGGAGGCATAAGGTCAACTTGCTGGTTCTTAGTAGGGACTAAGGGCATAAAATTCATATATAATCCTAA